AGGAATAATGACATATGTGGAATCTAAAAAAGTTGAAAAGTTAAATTGAGACCAGAGGTAGAGGAGAGGAGAGTAGATGGGAGTGTAAGGAAAGATTAGTTGATTGCTATGATGGTATAATTAGACAGGAGGAGTAAGTTTTAAGGTTGGATGGTACAGGAGAATTGATCCAGTTAACAATGATGTACTGCATATTTCAAAACGCCTAGAAGAGAAGGCTTTGAATGTTCTTACCACAAAGAAATAATAAAGGTTTAGTGTTGGATATGTCAATTACACTGTCAATGTATCGATGAACTGAACTAAAATGTACAATCAAAAATAAAAATAATAAAAATCTTAAAAAGGTCAGAAGTCATGGTGCACATCTGTACTCACAGCATTCTGGAGGTGAAGGCTAGCAGATCACCATAAGTTTGAAGTCAGTCTTGGTATATTCAGTGAGTTCAAGGCCAGACTGAACTATATAACAAGACCTTATCTCAATCACTCAATCAATTAATCAGTAAAAAGAAAGCATGGGAGTAATAGTAAGAAATACATATTTTGTTTTCATTGTAACATACAGATAGTTATTCAAAATTTAGCTTACACATGCCATAAGCTAAATTCCATATGCTTATGTCATTCTTGTTTTTGTCACTGTCTCTCTGATCCTGGGAATCATGTGACTTTCTCAATCATGCTCCCATTTTTGCCCTTTCTACTTCAAGGTCACCTCTTCTCTACTGACCACCCTAGTCTGGGGCCCCAGGTTAGGTTCTCTAGCAACTGCAAGTGTTTGAGAAAGAGTGAACTACAGTAGAAGTATGAAGGTAGGAGTGAGATGACAAATAGAGGGAACGAATGTGGGAGTGAGGAGGCTAAGGAGAAAGTCTGGGAAAAGGTAGTTAAGGAAGGCAATAGAGGAGGACACTGATCAGATTTGTCCCACAAGGTTCCAAGAGAATGAGGACCCAGTCATGGAAAGGTAAGTCTGACTGAGCTGCCGTAAGACAAGAGCACCTTCTTCTATAATCACAGTTCTTTAGACAAATGAGAGGGTCATTTGTAGGCAAGAGAGTTTTAAAAAACTTATTAGTTATCCATTGGGGCATAATAAATTATTCTAAAATGTACTTTAAGACAACAAATATTTCTCATCTCACAACTTCTGTGGGTTAGGAACTCAGGAGTGGTTTTGTGGGGTTGTCTGTTGCAGGGTCTCTCAATAGATTTCAGCCAAGATTGCCAGGGCTGATTCCTTGAAGGCTCATTCAGATCTCGGAGGCTGCTGGCAGAAGGGTCAGTGCCTCACAGGCTGATGGAAGGCATAGCTTTTAGTTACACAGGTCTGTCCAAAATACTGCTCGAGTGTCCTCCTAATGTAGCAGCTAGCCATCCACAGAGTGACCAACAGAGAGTGTGTGGAGAAATCACAATGCTTGTTCACCTGGTCTCAGAAATCACACCGTCACTCCTGTCACATTCTTATTCACTGGAAGCAAGTCCCTAATGTGCAGGCCACACTAAGGGGAGGGAGAATTTAAGCTCTGCCTCTTGAAGGAAGGAGTGTTGACAGTTTATGGACAAGCACCAGAAAGAAGGACACACAAGCAGACTCGGGAAGTTCTCTGACATCTGAGATTTTCCAACTATACTCATGAATCAGTAAACAAAGGACAAAAGTGTCTTGCACTTGAGACATATCATCCTGAAAGCAGTTCACTTGCTGTATTTGTCAAGAATGGTATCCTGGAACAACATCACATGGCAATGGGGTTTCATTCAAAATGGTTTTGTGGCATAACAGGAACATTATTTATGGTTTTCAGAAAAGAAAGCAGATATAGAAAAGGCTAAAGTTAGAAACTATTCTAATTATGTTACTCTTAGAGACAAAAAAGTGACTAACAATATACAGTATTTGTTCCTTTGTGTAATTTTAGCATTTTAAGTTTCTTCTATTAATTTTGAGAATTCTTTTGTTGTATTTGGTTGTATCAAAAAGAAAAATTTCTGGGCCCATCCTGGATATACTGAGTATCAAGCTGTTATGTCTAATACAAAGCCATTTAGGTAATTTATGATTTGAATTAGAATAACTGAAAGGATACAGTACAACACAGAAAAACTCAATTGATCTTGATGTTTGCCTGTGTGTGTGTGTGCACAATATTGAACCCAGTAGAGTAGGTAAGTGTTCTGCCCCTGAGCAGTGAACCACACATCCAGTCCCCAATCTTGATGTTTGAATGCCTCCTTTTAGAGACAGAAGTTTATGATAATACTGTGATATGCAGTGAGCAATATTTATAGAATCTTGATAGTGTTACTGATTGTCACTATTTGGAATCAATTTCTAAACAAAGTGTAGAAGATAAGCATGGCTATTGGAAAGAATATTAGAACTATGACAATAATTGTATGATTGACAGAAGTTGAGGTGAAATAAAGGAGTGAGAGAGGAAGAGAAAAGTACTTGAAAGTTCCTCAAATTACATAGCCAACTGAGAGAATCACTGATAGAGATTATGTAAAGCTGAGCTGGAGATTTAGCTCAGAGGCATAAGCGCCTGCCTTGCAAGCATGCAGTTGTGAGTTTGATCCCCAGTACCAATAAAAAAAAAAAAAAAGAAAGAAAAAGAAAAAGAGATTATGTAAAGCTGATCAATCAAGAAAAGTGAGTTACAGTTTCAAATAAACTCAAAATATATTATTTCAAGTTAAAGTTAGAATTCTAAGTGAAATCAAGAGAGAAAAGGGAATATGGGATTTAAAAAAATTTGTTTTCTTCTGTTTTGTTTTGCTTTTTTTTTTTTTTTTCAGAACAAGAAGACACAAATTTACAAATGTATCAAGAAACAAACACAAGCACATTCTACAAAGTGAGTGTTTTTCCCTCAAGACTAACCAGAACACACTGATTACCTTAGTAATGGGATGGTAAAGGTGACCTTCAGGTCTTGTTTCCTATCTTTTCTTTACTGTATGAATTTATTTTACTGCCATATGGTGAACATTCATAACCTTCTGAAGGTGAAAAAAGAAAATTTCATGACATTGGTGGCATAAGCTGACCTTAGCTTATGAGTCCCAGGATTTAGTGTATACACTTCACAGACATCAATTCTTCTAATTACCTTTGAAAAAACAGCAAGATTTTCACTTCCTTCATAAGTTAACACTTTATACATACTGCTTATTTAGCAAAAAAGAAGAACAGTTTACAAATCACTGTCTTTGTAATAAACATTACTTATTATGGGCTAACATACTATTACTTATTGTATACTTTGAATATGCATTTTTATACTACACTGCCCAAATGAGAAGACAACTACAAAGACCTTGTAATTTTTAGGAATCACTTGAATGAGCAAAAGTCCAGGCTCGGTAAAGAACAAGGATGACCCTAGGATGACCCCTCCTAGGACCCATTAAAGTTTTAATATCTCTCTCTTCCCAAATACTAAAGGTTATTCTCAGTTTTTACTGAAGGCCAAAGTAAGCCTTCTACATGTATTTAAAAAGCAATTCAGTAGTTAACATACCAAAAAAGAAAATCATGATTTGTCTTGGTTTAAAAAAGATGTCATTTAAGAAACATTTCCTCAGAGCAAATTTAGTACCAGGTATAATGGATAGAAACACTGGGGGGGGGGTTAGAGTTCAGGTGGATAAACAGTACTGATCTTTCATATAAAAAGAATCAATGAATGAGTAGATTTTAGGAAAATGCATTTGGCTTCTACAGCAAAAAAATACTTGTACACCCAAAAGAAGCTCTCAGCATTATTTATAGACTCAAAAAACCTAAGAGTAGGAAGAGATTTGTGCTATAGCAATAGATGACAATTATACAATACAGATCAAGTGCCAGTCACATTTTCTTTATGGGAGTTTATAGAAAGAGTTGAGCTACCCAGATTAATACACTGTGCTATATCACAGGATACCATATAATAGGGTACTATACAGCAATAAAAATGAACAGACCTTTTGCCTCATGCAGTGTGGATTAATCTATCAGGCTTAATGTTGGCTGAAGACCAGACACACAGAGCGCAGATCCTACTACCCTTTCGTACACATTGAAGTGTTAGAAGCTAGCATAATGCTTCAGTTTAGAGGATTAAGAGACTAGGAAGAGTCACCAGGGGGCTCCTAGGGCTGCAGTGAAGTTTCATTTTTTTTAACCTCAGTGCTAGTTATATGGGGTGGATTCATCCAGTAATTCATCCAGAAGTTCCAGTTATGATTAGTGCATCTTCCTGAATGTATGTATACTTCAATTAAAAAGTTAATTAGAATAAAACAAAACACACACACTCCCTACTGTCTTACATTTCATGTTTATGTAGATTATTGAGAAGTATCTCTCTGGATGGATGAATCAAAAAAAGCCAACCAGTGAGCAGTGATGACCCCATTAAGTCTGTGCCTTGATAAATGAGGGTGGGCTGGGCTTTGTCCCTACTGGTGTGCTTGGCTAGATCCAAACCACACATCTGGATGGACATTTGCAAATCTGCAAAAGCATCATTTGCCCCTCCCTCACCACAGCTTTATAAGAAGGGCAGGACAGACATCCTTATTTTATAGATGAGGAAATGGCATGGAACAGTAAGATGCATGCACTAAGGCACTGCAGCTAAGAAGCCATGGCACCAGGCTTGACCTCTGGGCAAGTAGCTCTTTAAAAGGTTCCTGATTCCTTTTTGGAAGGGGAAATAGGAAGAAACTTCTTTCTGTGTTACTATGCATAATATTTTGAGGGTCACCTCAAAAGCTCTGTGGAATAAGGTCTGACATTCCTAAGGACTGCACTAAAGTCCTAGGTTCTAAACCCACTTGAAAATGATGCAGTAGGTAGCTATGGAGAAAGAATAGGGATATGTAGATATTAATAGTATATCCATCCCTTCCATGCCATAAAGTTACTGACTTGAGGTAATAAAACTTTTCATTTCTTAAAACAAGGGGGGAAAAAAAGCACAACATAGACATGTCCAATTTACCTAGAAGTGTCTGCTTGTTCTGGGAGGAATCTGGCTCTGTAGAACACCTGCATGATCGGAGAACTATCACACCGCCAAGCACACCATCTTCACTGGCAAGGAAAGGGGAACCTAGGCAGAAAGGATCAGCAGTCATTTTCAGTGCATTTTACTTTTCTAGTTTTCAACTTTCATTTGATCACTAGAACACAAATGTGATACAAGGAAGATCTTGAAGGATACCCATTTTCCTGAAAATTATCATTGTTCATACTTCATCTAGACTGAAAGGCAAAGGCAGACTTCCGCCTGAATAGCAGCCATTTGGCAAAGACAGCGGCAGTGCTGCTAAAGTGACAAGTGGGGGATGGAGCATGCATTAGTGCATTCAGAAAAGAACTGGAAACACCACCAGATTAAAGGACCAAAACACAAATACACACAAAAGTGTTCCACAACTCCCTTTGATCACGTCTTGGGGATCACTTACCAGCCTCTCCCTGCTGTCACGGGACACCACCAAAAGCTTTGATTTACTACCTTAAATTCAATTTTAAACAATAAGCCACAAACTTTATTACAAACATTTAAGAATGCTCCTGATGGTTTACACAAATAAGGGTAAAACTGTGTTTCTATTATGAGAGTGTGGTGGTTACAAACAGCCTAGGCTCTTTGAGATCTCACACACAGAACCACTGTGAGCCTTTCAAGAACATTACATTTCAAATCCCTCATTTTTCTTCCCCAAGGACATCTTCTCAAACATCTGGCACTGCAAGTAAGCACGTGGAGAACAAATGCAAAATTAACCCAAGAAGTATCAAAGAGAGCAGTAAAAATAAAAACCAACCAAATTGGATTTGGGGGGAGCTTCTCTTTAAACTTAGTAGATTAAATACATGCCTCTATTTCCACTCCCTCCCCACACCTCAGGGAACTGATGGAAAAGGAAGAAAAAAGGCATGACCTAAACTGGGCAGAGAAAAAGACATACAAGAAAAATAAATCTAATCTAAGAGAGAAGAGAGGGGGAGGAAAATATGCCAAAAAGGCCAGGCTATAGCCTGTAAAGCCCATAAGCTTTATTCTTAGGCCTTTTCGAAGAAAGAATCTGCCAACTCCTCAGGTAGGCTCAGGTTCCAGAGAGAGAGAAAAATACTTCCTCCTTAAGCCTGCAGAAGTCAAGGTACTTTCTAGACAGGTTCAAGTTAGGACTAGAAGTGTGGCCAGAGACAATTAGGACTTTGGAACACCAGGCTCACCTCAGGGCAAGAAAGAAGCTACACAGTGAAAACAAAGAAGCTGAAGTGAAAGTCTTGCTTCTAAACAGTGAAATAATCAGCTTCCATGACACAAGACATCAGGTTGATACTCTCTGAGCTAGCGACTTTCTAACAACACAACAAGCACAGAAGGGTCTGTTCCTATTCAAGAGATACTTAGAAAATAACTTGTTCTTGGCTTATGATTTGTATTTCAAGATGAGAGTGTTGACTGATACTCAGAAAGTGTTCAGTTCAGCCTCATGGTGTCAAATGTTAAAGAGTACAGACAACTTAGGATCACTAGTTGTTTCAATGAAACCTCTGTCTTTGGAAAGACAAAGATCAAAACCAAAAGTAAAGATAACATAGGAAAAATAGGCAAATTGGTTGAGCAGAAGAAAAGACAAAACACCGAATCAAGTAAGACAGAGATGGGTGGTACAGTGCTTGCCTAGCATGTGCGAGATCCTATGTTAAAGCTCTAGCACTATGAGGGGTGGAGTGCAGGGAGACTGAAGGAAAACAAGTAAAAAAACAAGAAAATCTAGAGCTAAACTAGAGAAAGTGAATACAACACAGAAACACAACACAGAAAAGAATTAAGGAGTCTGGAATGCTAACCTTGGTTCCCTGCTAATGAAGAGAGAGGGTCAGTCTAAAGAGGGTCAGAAGTTACAACAAAAAACAATGAATAGCACTTGTCCCAAGAAAAGCCTGTTATTATTTTTTTTATTATTTAAAGTAAGACAAAACAAAATAGAAAACGGGCAGAAATAGTACATACTTTCAAAGAAAAGAAATAAACAGTAATAAATCACTAGTTGATGTATACATATTGTCCCCACACAAATAGTTGTTCAAGATACAAAAGTGAAACATATAAATGGGAATTCAGCCAGGGAGACTGGAAACCATTCTGTTCAACTAGCCAACAAAAACTAAGTAATATGGTTATCAATCTTATATACTTAGACATGTATGCATTTATCCATATCTTCATTTATGTTGAGACCTAACAAAACTTATTAGATTAAAATCTTTCTGAACAAAGATTAATAATATTGCTGGATTTCACATCATAACACTCTAGAATCAGCACTGGGTACTGCAGTGCCCCTTTCTTTCCTTCAAAGTATTTGTTCATTTCATCACGTGCCATAAGATCAGTATTGCTAACTGCAAAAACAGTGTGGGATTTTACTCTGAAAATACTTCACATGGCAGACTAGAGTTGGAGAAGAAATTTGTACAGTGCCCATCACAGTTACCGGATTTAACCAGTAAAAATTTTAGGAAGACTGAGCTATAGAACAATTATACTTCAGGATTTCTGGGGTCTCTCTGCCACAATGAGTGGAAGGCAGTCACAATAGACCTTTGTGGGGAAATCACAGGCAACACATATGTTTCCTGAGAAATTTAAGCTGAAGTTGAGAAGAATGTGGTAGTTGATTGTGCATGGTTTGGGCACAGGAGAGGAGGGTTAGATTGAAAGTACTAGCATTAAATCTAGCAGGTTGCTTAACACCCCTGTCCTACTAGGTAGCTTAGAACTCAATGGTTTCTTTTCTTTCCCCATTTGCCAACAACATAATCAGAGATACAATTTGGCCTGGACACTTGCTACAGACTGGGGTGTATGAACAGAGGGACATATGGAGCAGGTGTGAGTATCTCACAAAACCACAGGCCATAAAGCTAGGCAGAGAAAGCAGTGGCTTGGGGCACACGGAGATGCACAGAAGCTAAGAGCTCAAGAGTGACTATATCCCTAAGGTGTCACAGACTATGCCCAGCATCATCCATACACAAAAACTGACGCTGAAAGTAAAAGAAGACTTAATGGTGACTTAGTATCCCTCACTCATAGCTGCTGAACTCCAATACTGTAGACCGTACAAAGAAACCACTTATTCAAACACATATAAAAAATTTTTGGACTTTATTTTTCATTGATTCTCTCTTTGAGGGGTGAGATTTATTTCTTTTTTGCCTTTCTTTTGCTCTGCTTTTTCTTTCTCTTGATGTTCTTTTCTGTTAAATTCTATTGATTTTCTTTTGTTACTTAATAGGATCCTTGATCTCATTTTTCTGTTATCCTTCTCATATTCCTCTTATTTCATTTTTATATTTTACCTGCTTAAATTTCCCCTTCATAGTCTCCATTTTTTATTAGTTTTATTAGTCTTTAGATATCTAGTTGATTCTAGGCTATTATTTTGAATTCGTTTCTATGGTCAATGGTGGTATAGTTGTTCCATTTGGTAGATATTTATGTCAATATGTGGTTTGTCTTTTTGTCTATTTTTTTCTTTTATCTTTTAAGGGTGGAACAGTGGTAACTTTTAATTGATTCTTATGGTATGTCAATATCCAGTTGTCTTTATTATTGGTGAAAATTTCATTGCTTTTTCCAGGGTAGAATAGTTATTGCTATTAAATTATTTTTATTGTATGCCAGTATCTGATTTATCTTTGTGCCATCAATAATACTGTGGCTTGTTTCTAGAGAACTGGGTTCTAGGCCAATTATGATGCACCCTCCCCTTCCAAACATAATGTAAATGGTCCAACTGGAAAAGAGACAATGACCTACAGTTAGCCAGACCCAGAATGTATGATGGGAAAGTTGACTGACATTAGCTAAAGAGATCTCCATACTAGTAATAATGTGTTCCTACTATAATTAACCCTCAACAACAGCAACAACAGCAGCAGCAAAAAAATATATAAATATACCCTAAAGTATTCTTTGTTTATCTTTTCTAAAATTATCCACAATTACACATACATACTTCATTTTTTTTTCATTCAATGAGACCGTGTTATTTCAGCTCTTCCAACCTAAGTTCTGGGATTGGTTGTGTGACATGGAGTTACACTATGTTGCACAGGCTGGCCTCTTGAACTCTTGGAAGCAAACAATCCTCCCACTTCAGCCACCTGAGTGCCTAGGACTACTGGCATCTGCATCTGACTTTTAAAATTCAACAATATAAGTTGTAGATCTTTCTATATTAACATACACACACATTTTATTTAACTTGTACTTTTTAGCAATGAATAAGCTCTTGGACATATACACAATCACTTCTTTGACTGCTGATGAACATGTAGGTTGTGGTTTTGCTTTTGCAACTACAAGCAGTGAACAATTGGACACATTTACCTTTCATATACATAAAATACATGTATAGAATGCATTTTTAAGAGTATAATCAATCCACATACCCACATAAATCATTGTGGGGAGCAGCTGAGCCATGACTGAGTTGTGAGTCGACAAATTCCTTGAGACTAGAGCAAGGCCAGTCCAGCAGGTATTTGGCCTTCGTGTTCCTCCCTATTAACAGATAGCTCTAAACATGTTTCACATTCAGTGTTCTCAGCAAAACACTGAGACCTTACATTTTTTACTCTGCTGTGCACTTCCCTTCTCTTACTGTATATAAATAAAGTAGCAGACTGTGTTGGGATGTTCCTGCCTCCCCCACAGAGAGGTCAGGTCTCACTCGGTCCCAGGTTTCTTTTTAATATGTGTCTAGTTTTTCTTAATCTCTCATTACCCCCTCTCAAGATCCCTCTGGCTACAGATTTGCTACAACTGTCCCAAACTGTCTTCTAAAAACATTTACACCCACAAGAAGCAGTTTAAGAGTACCCATTTTCTTACAACCTTACCAAAAGTGGCTATCAGCAAATCCTTTATTGCTAATCTGATTCAGGAAAAATGGTGTCACTGTTACCTTGCTTTGCATTCATTTATGAATAAACTTAAATACTCATGGTACAGTTCACATATTAAGAGGCCCCTATATGCCCAAAAGTTAAAGGCTTGGTCACTAGCAGTGGGAGGCAGTGGAA